TCTCTGTCTCTCTGTCTCTCTGTCTCTCTGTCTCTCTGTCTCTCTGTCTCTCTGTCTCTCTCTGTCTCTCTCTGTCTCTCTCTGTCTCTCTCTGTCTCTCTCTGTCTCTCTCTGTCTCTCTCTGTCTCTCTCTGTCTTTCTTTTTTTATAGGCAGCCTCGGAATCTGACCTGAAAAATAACCGGATGTTAGATGAACTAGTAAAGAGCTTTAATTCTGCAAGGTATAGTGTAATTTTATAAATGCTCTCTCTGGTTTGGCAGCTGGAAAGGCAGGTGTGGTTACTTTGCGTGACCAGGCTAGAAGTCCTTGTAGAGAAGCAGAGTGAGGAGCAATGTGAGGACTGAGGGGAAAAAAAACTGTCCTGTCACAGAAATGTTGTCAGAGATGAATTTTTATGCTTTTGGAAAAATCCTGCAGTTTTCTGGCTGAAGGTTATGTAAGCTTGTTTTGGTTTTGTTTCTGGTTAGCTGCTGTGTAAGTTACAGTCTCTTCTAACATGTAGGAAGTCAAGCAGATGTGTCAAGTTCCACAGGGAAAATAATGATAATAAATGTGTTCTTCTAAGATCCTTCCTATGTGTGCTGGGGAAATTCTACACAGAAGGATTTTGTCCAGTGTAATAGTCTGCTTGCAAGAGAATTCTCTTTGTGAAGTCATTGGATAGGAAAAATTTAAGTATTGAGGGACCACAAAAGTGAGTTTTCCTGGATAAGAGAAGTAATGGAGTATTGTGCTTTCACCTGGATTTCTTACCTACTTTTCACTTCATGTTTTGATCTCCTCATCCCTTTGAAAGACAGGAACAACAGAATAAGCAAGTAAATGCTTACTACAGTAGATACATGAGATTTTTTTTTTGTATTATCTCTCTGTTTTCTTTTGATTAGAAGCAGCTCAGTGATTTGCTAGGTATTCTTTAGGTATTCCTGTGTCTATGGGAGATAAATACACTGTCATCTTTTTCTCTGAAATGAACTTGGAGCTTGAAATCAATGAGATTCTTGGTTTTGTAAGTGATAGCAATATAGTTCAGTTTATGGCTTTGTTTCTTGAGAGAGTTTCTCCGTGATGAAGATCTAATCTTCTGTATGACCACTATTAGACTGAATTGATTTTATTTGAAGAATTGAAATTCTACACTTCCATTATTTTAGCTTGAACTCTGGAGTTTCCTAGTGATAAATGGATTACTTTTTTTTTTTTTTTTATTGGTAATGTCCAATTTTGGAAGGAACAAGTAGTGCTGACTTGGATCCATTATGATATTGAATCTTAAATGTTGGGGGTTTTTTACTGCTTTAATGGATTGGTATAAATCTTACCAATCAGAGTAGTTTAATCTTTCTTTTTGTGACTTGGAGTTCAGTCAATTTCTTAACATAAAGTTAGATCAGTCAGACAAAAACTGTGGTGTTGTGTTGTGCCCTGGTTGGGGGATGAGGAGGGTGAGATCCCATGCAGGGTTCTTTCTGGGTCTCGGTAAGAAAGATACAACAAATAGCTTACTAACAGAACTGCTTTAATAAGACAGACCCATAAGTGGAATATAGATAGTGAGTAAATCTCACATTGCCTCTGATGCTGGGTACCTTGCATTCGTGCCTCTCAGCCTGGGATTGTGCTTACTCCGCTGATGGCCCTGAGTGTGAGGGGAACAACACTTGCCTGGGGAGTGTGACATGGCATCAGTATCATTAAATCATAAGAGCACTGTTGGTTTCTACCCTGACGATGTTGATACAGGACAAATCTTCTGTCTCCCACCTACTTTGTTTCCATTTGGCTCTCCCCAAAACAAATCCAAAGTCCAGGGGTTGATTTTTGGAACGTGCTAAGCTCTTTGAGTCCATCCTGACTTGACTTTAAGCCTCAGGTAGTTTTGTGTTTATGGGAATTAGGCCTTAAATCTTTTCAGTAGTTCACAAAATGCAAACACATTTCTTAAGCCTGTAGGGAAAGAATATGTTAATGTTAGTAGCACTTAGCAAAGTGAGCTGTGTTCCAAGGTCAGTGTGTTTGTAGAATGGAAATCAGTCTAAATAGACCTGAGTGCTGATCCCATTTATACTTCTGCTCAACATTCAGCTTGTGCACAAGTGTTTGCAGAATTGGAGCCTTCACAATCATTCGTACTAAGGGAGCGTTGCCTTGGGAGTCCTGTCCCTGTAGAAGTGGTGGACTCTGATGTTTCCCAATAAAAGTGAAGATGTTTAATTCTTTGTTACGGCCCATTAATGTGTTCTGTGTGAAAAGATAGAGGAGCAGTTTTGAATAGGCTGTCACAGGTCTGGATTTGCATTACCCTGCCCTTGTGCTCAGGTACAGGCCAAGATTCTGAGCAGTGAAGGAGACAAGGGAGCATGTTGCTCTGACCCATCACACCCACGGTCTGCTGTGAGGGGAGAGCAGCCTTTGCTCAGCAATCTGCTGCCAGTGCTGTGCTGTGCAGGCAGAGTTCATCTCTGCTCAGTCCAGGAGAGCAAAGTGGGCACTGCTATTTGTGCCATCTTTCCTGTATGAACAGTATTTTTATCAGCTGCAGTGAGGCCAGTGTCTTCACAAATAACAAGATTTGGGGTTGTTTTGAAATTAATTTCATTGTCCTCTAATAAAGAGATTCTTTTGATACAAACTGTCAGTTTCTGCATCACCCAGTTAGAAAATTTAGTAATAGAAATTAGAGCTACACTTAAGTAGAAAACTAGTCCTTGCTGAAAATGATCTGTGGTTTTTTCTTACACAGGGAAATAAAATATGCTTTTGCTTTCAAGTTTCTATCTTAGTTCCTTAGTCAGGGTTACTTGACAGCCAGTGAGACAGAGGAATACACACATCCACTCTGAGTGCTCGAGAGAGCAGGTACTGTCATTTCTAATACACTGATTAAACTTCCCAGCGGAGTGCAGAAGGAATTTCAAGGAGAGCGATTGTCCTTTAGTACAGTCAGGACTGTCTTGTGTGAGCTGTTCATAGGAAGATTCACAACCTCATCTCTTCCCTGGAATCTATTTATGTGGAAGCACTAGATTTCCACCTGCTTTCCCTGCTTCATAGCTGCTTTGGAAAGAGAGAAGTAAATGGACCATAAAATGGGAACCAGGATTTCAATGAAGGAGGACATGGAGATATTTTTTTTTTGGTGGGACTTGAAGATCTGAAGAGAAAAAAATTTCGCAAGATGTTTATACTGTTATTAAAGCATGGCAGGGAGAGGGTGCTGGCAGGGAGAGGGTGCTGTATACAGCATGTTAAAATGACCAGCCATTTTTAGTTAAACTACAAGAAGCATAACACCCTGTCATAACCCAAGCCAGTGATTAAAGAGGATGGGGCTCAGAGGAGGGTTTGGGTATTGGTTATAACAGTGCATGTTAGGACTCACTAACATCTTGTTGATCTATCTTTCAGCCTGGTGCTGCTTGTGCTCTTAAACCAAAGTCAGCTCTGATGCATTTACAGCTTTTGTGCCAGGAAGGTGAAATTGTATCTGCTAAAACCTTTCAGAACTGAAGGTAGTTTGTGTGAAATTCGTACGAGTGTAATAGATAATGTTGAAAACTGCATGCAAACCAGAGCTTTTTGAAAATTGTGTGGCCCTGAGGTTTACCAGTAGAATTAGTTTCTAGGGGAGCTGGACAGTCTGGTGGTGGTAGAGGGTGTACCTCTCTGTAGGCTGCATGCTTTATCTTGGCTCTGCTGTCTGCCTCTGAACTGACCGAATCACTCCCATAACAACTCTCAGAATTTCTGTGATTAATAAGAAATTTGAGTACTTCTCTCTGGCATTGAGGGAGGGGAGTAGCAGTTGATAAAGGTACCATGGGAGAGCCCAGGGCCGTGTGAGGAGCACTCTGGCTCTTCCATCTCCGGGGGGGCGCCTGAGTTTGGGGGGCCATGGGTTTGGGGGTCCAGTTGGTGGGGCCACTAGATGTCATCACGCAGCCAGTGTAGCTGCTCAGCAGGCCCAAATTACCATATTCTGGGAAAAAACAGGCTGGGACTTTTCTCTCCTCTTTTGAATTTAGTACTAGCATTTTCTGTATTTTCCCAAAAAAAAAAAAAAAAAAAAAAGACATACTGAGATTTCATGTGTGTTTTGGCAAACAAGTTTTCATATTCTTGTCCGAGTGTTCTTTCCATTGATTCTGTGCCAAGATCAGATCTCTTCGGAAAGTCTGTTCCTAAGTCTTTATCCTTCAATGCGAGGAAAAGCTCTGTATGATTATTTGCAGACCAGTGGTGTAATTAAAGCAACCTTTATTATCAAATTATTGTTAGGATAGATTTTGGGTTTTGTAGTTTTTCCAATTTCTCTCTCTCTATTTTATACCAGATCATATTTTATTGAGACAACTGTTATTAGAGAATCTGAAACTTCTGTTCAGACGATTTCTCCATTCTGGCTGCCTTCATGCAAGTATTAACAACTTGCATTTGAAGTGAGATGGCTTTCTGTTTGGGTAGTCCATCCTGGCAGCTCTGGAGCAGCTCTCCCAAGTTTGAAAGTCTACTCTTTTGTACAGGACACATGGCAGAAATGCTGCGCTTTGTGCTCTGAGCCTTTGGCTGTGCATCTGCCACTGGCTTCTGCTGCGCATGGAGCTGGCTCTCTCCTTCCAGCCTTTATCAGAATTGCTCAGCTGCCCCTTGTGTGGGCTGGCAGCTGTGTGGATTGAGACCCACCCCCAAATGGGTTTTTTGGCCGGGTAGCCTTCCCCAGGGACAGATCAGACTGCTAAAGCCTCTGCTTCAGAGAATTCGAGGCACTAAGCTGTGCTATTGTGATACTTCCTGAGAAGGAAATGCTGAGAAAAAGATAACACGAATCCATCTTAAGTCTGGTGAAAAGATAAACTGATGTGAAGCTTGAATTTTAGGAGTATTGTCAGCTAGTGTGAACACACTGGGAAATACGTTTTAGGCAGTGAATGCACGTTGTAGAAAAATAAACAGACATAATTGGTGGCTGCAAATAGTAGAATGTGTTACTTTGTCAGGAGCTCTCAAAAGCAGTAGAAAATACACTGAAAAGATGAGGGAGATCAGTTGTGCTCTCTCAGTGAAGATGAATATAGGCAACCGGCTAATTGTTCTGATATTTTTGCCTTTTGGGGCTGCATCCTCCTTTATTTTATGGGAAAACTAAACTGATATAGGAAATAAACTGATACGATGTCAAATGCATTTATGGATCTGGTTTATGTTATCTGAGCCATGCAGAATGCTCCTGTGCTGTAGCATAGGATGCTGGGCTTTTGTGTAAAAATGGTTGTTTAACAGCCACAAGAGTTATATGATAAGACTATGTGTTAACTTTGATTAGCTAATTTAATTATAGGCTGCCAGTATGAGAACCTGGGGTAGTCTGAAGAAATAGACTTTTTTACATAACCAAAAAATAAATTCCATGTTCAAAGAGGGGAAAAAAATTTATTTTAAAAAATACATCTGTGGTAGAACACCCAGCTTCATCCTTTTGAGGATTAAGATTTCCCTAAGTGTATTAAGAATAAAAGGCAACTAATTTGTTTGCTTTTGAACCTGAATGTAGAATAGAACCATCTGTGATGTGACAAGTCTTCTGAGGCTGTAGTTTGTTACCTTTAAGTTGAAGAATACTGTGTGCTTATTTGCAGTAAAATGAAATACTTTGCCAATTACTGCTGCTCATGGCCATGTTGAGCAGTGATACGCTGTCAGACCTTTCCAGTACTTCTGGATGAAATACACCCGGTGTAAACAGCAAATGTGAAGGAGGAGTGGGGCAGGGCTATTTATGTTCCCATTAACAAGCCCCTGCATTCTCGTGAAGTTGATCCTATGCCAACAGTAGCTAGACCACTCTGAGTCTGTGTCAGCCAGGGAATTAACCTCCTTAAAAACTTCCAGTCCATATCTAGGCATGAGCGGACAGAAAAGCATAGCTTTGCTGCCCCATTTAAGTGCACTTGTGTGCACTGCAGAAGGTTAGAGTCCTGGGATGGATGTGAATTTACACTGACACACTGACAGTGGTCATTTCATTCAGTAATCCAGGCAGTTTAAACTCCAAATCAGGCTTCTGAATCTGGCTGGAATATAACAGCTGCAGAGCGTTGGCTGTGCTGAGCTGGTTGCTAAGGTTGTTCACCAGGAATGTATCTTAAACTGGTGTAGTTGTGGGGCTGCCTGGTGCCTTATATGAACTTGCTCTTAAAAGATATATGTACAGACAGTTCTTAATTATTTGTCCTTTAGACATGAAAAATTTTTACCTTAAAAGACTGAAAGTTTTTTAAGTAGTTACCCAATACTGAAAAGTCTTTAACTACAAAACCTGAGAGCATAGCTGCATTTCAGACTTCTTATGGGCCTTGTGTCTTCATGAAAGTGCTGTAAGAAATAATTTTATGGCAGTGCACATTCTACAGGTACATCACCCACAGTGTGTCCTGTCCCCCTCCCTTTTTTTTTTTTTTTTTTAAATAGTAATCCAAATTAGTTCAGCTGTTATTTATTCTTCTTGAGTTAAAAAGTTTGCAAGTTGAAAACCCATAGTTGTTTTACTTTCACAGGCTTTGTCGCCTCAGGTGCAGTGACTTGTGTTACAATCAAAGTGTAAAGCTGTGCCATTTAAATAAAGAGCGTGTATTTGCTGAGCAATGGCAGGAGTGAATATCCTAGTGCTTGAAAAAGTTAATGTGTAACAGCTGGGAAGGAGGAGGACTCTTCAGTGGTGTTTGTGGTCTTTGGGGGCTATGCATTCTCATCTGAGGGATACCAAGTGTCTTGGGCAGTTGTAAGTCTCCTGGTAGAAGTTAACATCACCCTGTGCCCTTAAGGCAGAGCTCTGGGCCTGCAGCTCTGCGGCTGCTACAGCAACAGTGAACACTGGTGGGGATCGGAGAGCTGGAGGCACAGGGGACCAGCAAGGCTCTTAGACTCCTTGGCATCCTCAAAAGCTATCCATATTCCTCTCCCTCTGTTGTCCTGCTATAAAGAGAAGCGAAGGGAAGGTCCCCCTACCCCACTTAGCAAGTGGGGACAGAGTACCACTTAGGGATGAACCAGTCTCCTCCATTCGTTGTTAGAGACATGCTGCCTTTCCTTTAAGATCTTCCATTTTTTGTAAGCTGCCCCAGTTTGTCAGAGCTTGTAAATGATAATATTTTAATTTTTTTTTTCAATGGCCTATTTTTTTGGGTAGTACCACTGATGATACAGCAGGCTGGGGCTTGGCAGTTGGTGGTTGTGAGGGTGGCAAGTCACGGAGAAAGTTTGGGAGCACCGGGCAGCCGTGCAGGGTTTGTGCTCCTGGGAAGCTCGATGGGTCACTGTTGTGCAGGTTGCTGAGGGACGATGGAGTTGTGAGTTAAAGGATAATGACTGCACGTGTACTTCTGCTGGCTGTTCTTGGCTGGATGACAGGAACTTCACTGTGACTCTCAGGATCTGGAGGACTCTTGTCAAAGTAGTAGTGGGTAAGAGTGAGACGTCGTTTGTCCATTGTTGATGTCAGTTGGAAAGCTGTCCCTCTGCCTGTGGTGATACAGGAGTGGGAGTGAACCACAAGTATGTGGGCAGGCTGTGCCATCTCCCTGCCAAGGATGCCATCTCTGGCTTAACTTATTTTAGATCAAGCTGTATAAAATACATGGTAAAATAAACAGGATTCTGCAAAAGGCCCTGGGGCAGGAGTAGGAGTAAAACATATCTTTAAGATCTTATGTAACTGCCTGAGTAGGACAACTGTGACTTTATAATTCTCTGTATTACCTCAAAGCTTTGAAAGTACTAATGTGGGACAGGAAAATAAGCCTTCTGCTGCTACTGTGTTCCTACCAGTAAAATACAAGTTTATTTACTGGAAAAGAGACTTTTGTTTAACTTGCACATGTACGTGGATGGTAAGCATTCTGGTGGAGACTGAAGTGGGCTGTGCTTGAGGGCAGTGATGTTTCCCCCCGTATTTTATATGAGAAAAGAATTGTGGGTTTGTGCTCTTTGGCTGATCATTGATGAAATGTGAATGAAATCTGGGTTATCTGACACTAAATCTCAAGACCTGACAAGCACGCAGCTCTCTTGGTGGGGTTCTGCTTGGCTGGGTGGGAGGGAGCAGCTGTGTTAGGGGGACCTACAGTAAGAAGGGGCAGAAGGAATATGGCAGTGCTTTCTGCTAAGCTTTTTGGTTTCAGGAGCCTCTGTCACAGTGCTTGAAAATTAATCATCTACCATCTTAAAGTAAGGGGGAAGACTTCTTGTTATTTATTGCATTCTGTCTCATGTTTTGAGAGGCATTTTATTACATTTGCAAAAGGTAACTTATTTTGTTTGAAAATCAGGCAGATAATTCCTAGGTTCTTTCAAGTGTGGTGAGGCTCAGCTGGTGTGCTCCTGCTCCTGGTTTGTGTGGGCTAGCCAGTTTTGGAGTGCTGCGTGCGAGCAAGGGGGAGAGGGAGGAAGGAATGGAGGAAAAGCTCCATCTGTTTTCATTCTGGTTTCTTCTGAAAGAAAAAGCTAATACTGTCCAGTGTAGCTAACTGCATGTTGTCTCCTGGATGCTTCTAGACAACAGCTGTTCAAGCTGGTCTTGGATACTCCACTGATTTCATCTCCATTGGCCTGTAGCAGGCATTCAGCTGGCAAAAGCCACGTTAGGAGTCCTGTTTCTTGGCCCGTTTTAAAAGAAGAGGTGCCAGCGATTGACAGTTTCTTGAGCGAGGAAAAAGTTTGTACCTTGACAAAGGCAGATGGCCTGGCAGGAACAGGTCAGAAGATTTTCAAAACTGAGGAACACCATAACCTTTACAGCAGTTTTGCAGAGGATAATGGTAAAGATGATGAAGTGGGACCACAGGAGAGTCCTGAGTGCACCAAAAGTCATGAAAAGCCTTCTACATCTGTGGCAAAAGTAGTCAAGAAAGGTGAGATGCTGAATTTTTGTTTTTGTGTTGTTCTCTTCCCCATGTCTGTGGTTGTGGTTGGCTGTATGCATTAGAGTACCTTCAGTACTCAGCACTCCTCTCTGCACTGCTCTCATCTGCACTGGCATGTTCAGATGCTTCCCATTTAACGGGCTGTGCTTCATTCAGATTAGTGCTTGTGTGAAACAGCTCTGTTACAGGCATATTCTTGATGAGGAAGCTTGGGCTGATGCCAAGTAATTAGAGTTCAGTGCCTACAGATTCCTTTGCTTTGAGTAACAACTCTGAAAAACAATAGTTGCACAACAGACTTAGTAAGAAATGAAGTCATTTTCTCTTCTTCCCCTTAATGGGTAGACATACAACGTTGACATTCATTCTGCTCTCGTATCCTTAAGTGAGCAGAAGCAAAGCATTTTATAATGTGTTTGTTACCCGAGAGGTGCACTCACAATCAAAATGATCATGGCCTCACACTCTCCAGAAGAAAGTAATCTGCTTTATTCTTCTGTAATTCTATAGTGATAATATTAATTTATTTTGAAGCATGAAAATGCCCATTTATACTAATCAACTACAATGAAACAACAGTCCTTTTAGTTTTGACATGATGCAGCCATCCCAATTGACCCAATTAAAAACCTAAATTAAAAAAAAATAAAAAGACCATGTAGGCATACAGCACTGATTCTTACTATTTTTGTATTTATCTGTCCTTTTGTTTAAAAATTTATTTAGCTGGAACTCTGAAGTTTATACTTATTCTTTAGCTGGGTAAATACTGCTTAAAGATGTAATACAGCCAGAAAAGTAGCCATCTGAAAACGGCATCAACTTAGCCAGATGTTACACTTCCTATTTTTATGCATCAGACTTGCTTGCGTTAGTAATTTGAAACTCATATGAAATGTTACTGCTCATTTATTCTTGAGCAATTGAAATTTTCACTTGCTTACCATTTTATGACCTTATTAAATGGTCAAGCATGCATTACATTGAAATTATTTCCACAAATGCAAAGTGGTTGGTCAAACAATATAAATGAAACTCTTGAAATGAGGCAATGCTGAAGTGGTTTTAGTAAGTATTATTTGTTCCTATGTTAAGAATTGAAATGTTAATTTCAAATACATGATAGACTGCTCGGAACTATTGTGTTATGTTACTCTCTCAACATTTTTTTTTTTTTTTTTTTAAATAAACCTTTGACTAGAATATGATGTTATGGGAGTCAGGAATTGCAAAGCAGTGTTACCAGATAACTCAATTCCCACAGCATTTTGAAGTGTTTTTCATAGGTGGTTTTTTGGTTTGTGTTTTAAATCAAAACTGACTTCCTTCATACTAATGCAGAGGATGTCAGCTGAAGTCTTTCTTGTTCATTTAAAGTTAGCCTTTTGTTTTTGACCTGTGACTGCTAAAGATGAATATTTAAAGTTTGTAGTTTTTGACTGTTTTACAGGTAATGTTTATGGGTGGTTCTTGAAAATGTGATGCAAGGAGAATTCTGAGTTGTGTGGGACCATGCTGTAGAGCATTTGTGAGCCTCTGAGCCCAAGTCACAGAATCAAGTTATCCGTCTTAAGAAATGAGTATGAGGCATGGTTGGATCTCAGGATTCCTGTGAGGCTGAGTGAACTCATTTATTGATAGTCCTGTTGAGAGCCAGAGATTGGGATCATTATGTTAATATGAATAAAGTTCGTGCTATACTGTTTTATGAAAATGAAGCAGCTTCCTTTATTTAGGAGTGAAATACTGCAAAAGTGAAAAACATTAGCATGGCAATATGCTTATGTTTATATTAGCCCCTAGGTTTATGTGTAGTATGTATGTTATAGATTTTTATTATAGATTCCATTGCATCCGACTGCAGGGAAGATGTAAGCAATTCTGATGCTACATAGGGAGGGAAAGTGTTCTGGAATGAAAATGAGAGCTAAAAATGAAGAGTCTGGATAGACATGCCAGATATCTTAAAAAAAGAAACCTGGAATTCTGAATTTTCATTTCCTTCAGTTAACCATTAGTTTTTCAGATGGAAACATTTGTTTGCTGTAATATATGTGCTAGTAACTGCCTTCTCCCTTTCCTTCAGTGGAATGTCCTGTTTGTGAGGTTGCTATTCCCGAGCACTACATAAACAAACATCTGGATAGCTGCCTGACAAGAGAAGAGAAGAAGGACAGCCTCAGAAGGTAAGAAACAACTTTAAGAACTTTTATATGTATGTAGCCATTTTTCTTCACTGCTCAAATAAGAAATACTAGTTGATGGGTTATAATACAGTGGATTGTGTTTGTTTCTTGGTTATCTGCTGTATAGATCTCTCTAAAATTACTGTATAAATATGATAGTGGTGATTTTCCCCTTCAAGGAACTATGTGGATTGCCAGCAGAACTACTTTTTGGCTTTTAGTGGCAAGAAAACTGAGCAATGTTTTAAAGAGTTCAACGCAGGCAGTAAAACTTAGTCTGTATACTATTCTCATCACGTTTCTGTTCACTAGCATTAGAATTCCATTCAGATAATACATTCTGATTTTTTACTTGGTGAATGAATTACTTCCCTCAATTCAGGTGGGCCAAAAGACAATTGCTTCACTAGCTGTCAAGATTGAAAAAAAAAAAAAAAAAGCGCACCTCACTTTGCTCACTGTGGTTCTTTTCAAGTTGCCTCAGTCAAGGCTGTTGTTACTTTAAGATCTCAATTAAGATCAATGTGTGCCTCTGACTTTATGCCTCTGCCTTAGAATTTGTCACGGTCACCACATTCACATCAGAAGTGTGGATTTCAGTTTGTTTTACTTACTATCATAAATGTAGGCCATTATTATTTCTAACTGATCAGACTTAAAGAACTGTGAGGGACTTTTACTGCATGCAGTTTTACTGCATGCTTGTATTTCTAATTCCTCTGAACCTTGTATTAGAAAGTGATTTCATGTTAAAGCTTTTATTTTGCCCAGGTGTGCTTAGAATGAAATCTGTAAGCTAAATAAATGGTAAATTAATATTGAAATCTGATGTTACATTTTAATTTTCATTTGGGATGTTTGTAGTGCTTTCTCTGTTCTTGATGAATGGAGATAAAAGTCAGATCTTTATTTTGTGTCAAGCCCATGTCCCTAACAGAATTTAAAATTTTGCTTATTTTATCTAGACTACTTGGATCTCAAGAAAGTATCGTGCAAGATACTTCTCTGGGACTGGCTATGGTGTGTTAAATGCTGGCTTTTTGACAATGTGCTTGTTTCATGGAAGTGTTGGTCAGGTTTCAGTAACAGCACCTCTCTAGTTCGTCTTGGAGGAATTTTAGCCCTGTTTATTCTCAAATTAGGAACACGTCATGCTGTGTTAACAGTTGAGCAGTATTTCAGTGGAACTGATAATTTAATGCACCAAACTTGCTCAGGAGTAATGACAACAGGTAAGAGTGGTTTCAAAGAACACTGCATTTCTCAAGGATGGGAAAAAAACCCCACAAACTTTAAGATTCAAAACTGTTGTGAGCTGTTTTCATGTATCTGTCTGCTCACAAAACTGTCAGCACTTTTCTAGGTCATGCTGCTGGTGAATGATAATACATACAAAGCTTTTTTAGGACTTATAAAAGATTTAATTATTAAATTAAATTTTTTATATTACCCAGAAGAATCTGAAAAAAGTCTTTTCCTGAAAAGTGTGTTGTTTTAATACATCTTTTTTTTTGCCAGCTATGCTACAGGGCCTATATATGGATAAATTAATTAATGACAATTTTTGTGTAAGCTTTTTTTTTTTTAAAACTTTGATATTTATTTTCAATGTGATAAGTGAAAGTGCTGAATACACTTTTCAAATGCCTATTGCTTTCACAGTGGAAAGCTGTAATTCGGAGCAGTGTAGCTGAATTTTATTTTGCTGCAGGAAGAAGAGCGTGTAACTAAATGCTGTTCTGTAACTAATAGATTAAGTTGATGAAGATGAGCGAGGCAGTAGATGGATTTCGGTCCCTTTGCTAGCTAGCTTGTATTTTGCCTGGAGGTGTAGGGAAGACTGAGCACATTTGTGCAGGACGAAACTGTTCTGCTAATTTTAGATGACAAAAGTTGTATTAGGGCTTGGATTTTCTATGGCAATTTCCTGTAATTAAGATGTTTTCCCTAGCTATGCCAGGAACACTGAGTTCTTCTAACATAAAGCAGTATGAAGGAGTAAGTTTTGGGTTTAGATGTTATTTATCTGAGAGCACTGTTAATTCTGTTTAATACCACTTTCTCTGTTACCAAACTACCCTTCTGTTAGATGGGAACTACGGATTACAGATTGGCTTTCAGGTACATGAAATTCTTTGTTGAAGTCATATTCCCAGAAAGCTGAAAAATCTCCTCATTCAAGTTTTGGTTTGCAGTTTTAATGCTTTTAAAGCTTCACCAACTGCTTCAGGTAAGACATGGCCAGTATTTGGGTGGAAAAACCTGTGTTTCCACAGTCGGAATGCATTACAATTCCTTTTGAATTCAGGGTGAATGTAAGGCTTGATCCTAATGAAGTTGAACAATACTGTGTTTGCTGATGTGGTTCTGAAAAGCCTTTGCTGTAGACACTAAAAACTGAGGTGCAGTACTTGTTACACGAGTAGTGTTTGCCTCATTGACTGAAGAAAATCAGACTAGACCTATTGCTTCCTGCACGTTTGAAATTTCTGCTGGGTGGAAAAAGTGTTCTGGCTTCCTAGAGCTTGTTCTGTCTTGAGATACATGTTATAATTGGTTGTGTGTCTGTCATGGCTGAAATGATTCTTTCAGGTATTTCTTAGCAAGAGTGGGTGAAATACCCTGTAAAAATGTGACTCAGTATTTTGATTTTCATAGGAGTAAAGAAAGTTTGTCTCCTTTTTCCTTTTGCAGTTCTGCTCACAAAAGGAAGCCTATGTCTAAACTTGTTTACAACTTGCTCTCTGATCGTGATTTGAAGAAGAGACTAAAGGAACATGGTCTGTGTACCCATGGGACCCGACAACAGCTTATTAAAAGACACCAAGAGTTTGTGCACATGTATAATGCTCAGTGTGATTCTCTAAATCCCAAATCAGGTAAGTTAGAAATTCTAGGAATGTTGTTACCGTTGCAAACTATTTATATGCATTTCTCCTTCTCTTAGCTCTCAGGGTAGGGATAATGTTGGTTTGATTATTTGAGAAAACTGGAGCTGGAAGAATTAATTTTATAGAAATCAAGATTAATGCAAAAGAGGGAGACTTAATGAAAACCAGGAATGTGTTGCAATACTCTGGAAGTATCCAGGAAGGATGTACATTTGTGTTGAAATTCTTTGATACTTCTTGGTTTACTAACCCTGTTCTGAAAAATGTTCTATATTTTTAGTGACTTTGTATTTTAAGAAGCACCTCCAAATTACTCTTGAGGCTTTAGTAAAAAACCTGGAAATACCTGAGGTTTTTTGTAAGTGAATGGATTATTAATTTATCTTCTGTTGTGAATTTGTTCTCGTCCTCCTATACCCTGAGATTTTTATATTCTTATTGGATTTCATTTCAAAATTAGATTTCTTTTTGGAGATCATAGGTAAGGGTAGAATGGATTAATAAGAAAGTGTTAATGTTTTGCTGGAGTTTATATCAATTTAGGTGTTTGGCAGCAATTTTATACAATTGATCTCAGACAATATATAGCATGAAATGGCTGTATGGGATAAGGAGAATGTGTTTTAGCCTCTAATGTGAGTGTAGTATAAACTTCCTTAAACAGCAGTCTATTGTTTGCATGTGCTCAGGCTTAATGTTTGGGAAATGCCCGGGCTGGAAAAGGGAGGATGAGATGTGGATCAGGTTATTTGTGCTGCCTGGCTTTGTAGGCAGTGTGACCATTTTAAAAATCTTGAATAGCATGTATGAGCTAGAGGGAGAATGGTCCCAGCTCATCTTGTTATATTCTATTTTATACAAGATGACAACATGCATCTTTAAAAAAGATGTGTCATTTGTCACCTCTCAATTCAGTTCTGCAAGTGGAACAAGTAACAGCACAAATACACTGACGTGCGTGGGTGAGAGACATCAGATTTATAGCTTTATTATTATTTGATTACAAGCTTATGGCAAACAGTCCTTTTAAAGGAATTTCTGACAGGATCATCTTCTGATACTACTCTCCTGGGAGCTGCACAGCTGTTAGTGTCCTGGGAATTCTCCTGTAGCGGGTATTGCATGCTCTGCACTAGTTTCAGGATGCAGCTTGTCTTCTGCTAGGTCTGTAGTGTAGGTCAGTCCTGCTGCTGGCAAGAGCTGGTTTGTTACCTCAGAGGTAGAGAGATGAGAAATACTGTTCCTCACCCTCAGTGTGATCTCCTTAATTTCCATGTTACTAGAGAGACTCAAGTCCTGAAGCACAAGTTCACAATTTCTTCCAGAAGTTGTAAATAATTCTGAATGTCTTTTTGTGTATTGAAGGGCTCAGAAACTGTTTGAACCAGATAAATTTTTGGTCTCACTGGCAGTGGGACTACTGGGCACTGAGTGAGCGGACAGTGCAGGCAGGGCAGTGAGCTGGCAGCTGAGGTCATGCACAGCTGGGCTCAGCATCTCTGTGGGTCAGACAGCACTGCTGGAGGTGCACAGCTAAACCTTACCTTTGCTATTTGTTTCTTATCTGTAACAGCAATAATCTGGGGCCAGGGGTGAGAAGTACCCTTTGAGAAGGCTGCCAAACTTAAACACTGTAAAACGTGCTTAATTCGTCAAGTTATCATTTCACAAATTTGACAGCATAGGGGAGTGTTTATTTCAAGTGAATGTTAAAAGCTTGTATGTTGACTCCATGTACTTGTGGAGTATATATGATATATATATATATAGATATATATATATATATGGAGTATATGTGATCAGACTGTTGGAAATGCTAAATATCCACAACTACTACTGTGGCATTTCAAAAATAAAGTATGTTTCTGGTGTTCAACTTTGTTATTAAACAGGCAGAATCACCAGATGCAGTGCTTTTTGAAAAACAATGTCAGTCACTGAGGAGTATAAATATGAATTTAGCAGCCAAACTTCAGGCTTCTGCTTTTTGAAATCTTGATTTCACTTGCCAGCTCTTGGCCTTGATTGTGGGAGCAGGTGTGTGAGAAGCAAGTTTGCAACCAACACTATTTACTTCTTCATTTTGCTCCTTTAACCATTTTAAGAACTTGACTAAGAAGGTTGAGTGTCAAAGTGATTTAGGTGCCAAGTATCACTGTTTAGTTTGTGCCTAAGCACTTCTGAAAATAAGCATAAATGCTTTGAAAAATTGTTTTCTATGTCTTCAGAAAATCTCTGGGATGAGAACCAGCACACAGAGTTAAGACTGTGTTTGACTTGAGCAATACGAGACGTTTAGGACATTTAAGTGTGTAAGAACAGCACTTCTATCAGAATTTCAGTTGTGCTGTGATTTGTGTTAGTTGTAAAAATGTAATGAATCAGAGCCCCGCTCCGAGCTCCCTGGCAGCAGGAGGAGATGTAAAGCTGCTGTAGGTGGTGGGGGGACACTGTTGTCCATTGGCTGAACGGGAGCAGAGCAGTTCCGAACCAAAGTGAGGAGTGGGCTGGCTGGGAGCCGAGGCAGGTCCCGGAGAGGGAGAGGGTGGGTCGCGGGGCTGGGGCTGCACCACTGCTGTTGCAACAGTGTGGTTGGTGGGAGAGGTAGGTGCTGTTTTGACTGGAGCCTTGGGTCTGTGCGAGGCATGCTAGAATGGACACAGCACAGAACGGATGGCTCTGTTAGTCCTTGGACGTGCTGGTGGTACTTTGCTCTTGGGGCTATTCTTCGCTCGATGCTGGTGATGAAGTAGCACCAAGTCCCTGTCTATACTGTTCATCAAGCCAGCTAAATGGAGAGCTTCACAAGGTGTTACAGTCTGCTTTAGTGACTCTGCCCTAGTGAAAAACGTAAAAGTTCTGGCTCAATACCTATTTATAAAGGGTAAATTATTAAACTCACACTTAAGATGCAGACATGCATTTTCAGTGGTAGCAGTGAACCTGAGGTCACTATCTAATGGGAATAGCCAAGCTTCTGAGGAAGCATAGGTGCCTAATTCCTGATTTTGCTTAAACCAGTTTTGAACAGGTTTTATTCCTTCACATCTTAATAAGCTTCTGTTCTCGGGCTACTTTACTGTCTAGTGAAAGTGTTTGTTTTAATAAATACCCATAGCTATGTAGTAGCTCTGTGAAAATTAGTAATTGTAGAAACAGGTTTGTGAAAGTCAACGTCAGGATAAACTGTGCAGTGTCCTGCATAGCTGTAGTTGTAGTTAAAATCTTAACAGTGATGTCTGTTCATATGCTTTTGAGGTGTCGAACTTAATCATTAGAGTAGGTTGTAACACACCTTTGGACTGTGGGTTTTGGACATAGGCCTGCAGAGTTTGGTGTTGCCTTGGAAGCTAGTCCTTAGAGGTGAAAGTAAGGTAAACAGTAGATGCCATTATTTTATCTTCCATTGAAAGATACATTAGAAAATGGAAACACTGTATAAAGGAGACGCCTGTGCACCACAGAAACGCTACAGTGTGCTAGACTAAGATTCAAATGTGATTTGAAGACTGCATTTTCCCATGAGTTAATACAAAGGAGGTGACAGTACTGGCTCGGGAGGTGGCTGAGAGCCTGCTGCTGGCAAACACTGCGGGGCTTGCAGCGCGGATCCTCAGCCTGCAGCTTCTGACCTTGCCCCCAGTCCCGAGTGTCAGGCACTGCCTATGCTGCTGAGGTGCCATGGATGGGAGCCCTTCCCCTGTGTGAGCAGACACCTGCCAAGCACTGGTGTAAAACCATCCCCTTTGGATTTGCTTGTGATTGGGGTCTGAGTTTTCACTGTTGGAGAGCTAATTCCCGTTTGTATCTTGTGATTGAAATTCATGGTAGTTTCATTCAGTGCTGTTATATGTTTTCATTTAACAGCTCCTGTTTTAGTGATCCCTTTTTTGTATTTTCAAACAGTTGCGGAAGTTGTTAAAGAGCTGGAGAAGAATGAGAAGATTCGGGTTCAGCTTGAATGTAATAAACCAGCTGAAAATGTAAGCTACTTGTCTTTGTTCTCAAAGAGGGGGGTGGGTGGCTAGGAGAAATTGCAGAGTGGGCACTGAACATGTTTGCCTATCATTTTATTATGGGAATTCCCAGGTTGCATGTTGGAATTTGCATATACCATCTTATAATCTACATGATTTTCTCATGCCACTCATTTGTTGTGGGCAGTTCTTTGTGTACTGCTGATGTTTCTGTGCCCAAACTATTTAATGTATTTTTGATTGCAGTAAAAATTCTTGAGAAATGTTCCCCTTGGTCATATTGGAGGATTTTGACCCTCCATGGCAGTGTGGGGAGTATTTTGCTTCCTAGAATTCTCTAGGATTTAGCTAGCAAATTCCTTGCTTCTATATCAGCAATAGTGCCTGTTCTTTTCCCATGACATGATATTTTTGTGACTTTTGGAGCGTGTTGGTTGCACAGTATTAGGAAATACTTTATGGTTCACACATGCTGGGTGTTATATGGGGTGGCCTGGCTTAGTCCTGTTGACTTTGTGAAAGCAAAGCAAGACAGCATGTATACATTAAATACACATTAACTGTCTGTGGATGAGGTGGTAAGAGCAGGTGTGGGGAAAAACAGACAGCTGATCCTTCTTCCAGTTTTAATTCTCTAGTTTTAAAGTATGTAGTTTTATCATCTTTCTGTGAATAAATATTTGTGTGATTTTTGTAGAGCTTGACCTTCACAAAGGACCAGACAGAGGAAGAAATAGATGAGATCCACACTGTTTATCGTAAGTAATATGCAAGTTTCACTTTATTTTGTTTCAAAATTCACCTTGTTTTCCTTTGTACTAAAATGTGCACGCAAAAGTGATGCTTTCCATGTGTGTGTGCTTCCCCTGCCTCCCATTTAATAAATCAAAGCTGGAAGTTCTCTGTTTGGACTGAAACTTCCTCTTTGAAACTCAGTCTCTGTTAAGTTCTGCTGTTTGACAAAACTCACTGCCTGGGCTGGGTAAGATTGAGATGGAAGCTGATGGTCTCCTTAGCACATCTCCACTTAAGCACTTTCTACTTACCATCTTCATGGTCCTCCCATGTCTGTTAGACATAAAGAATAGCAAATTGGAGTTTTTCTGTCTCCTGCACTCGATGGCTTTCCTGGGAACCCTCAGGGAGAAATAGGAACCAGAACTTCTCTGAGGGGACTCCCTGGGACCCTGGCAGCACTGGGCATGTATGCCAGCACTGTCCTGTTGAGTGGCTGGGTGCTGGCTGGCACGTGGAGGGTGAGCTCTGTTTCAGCATCCTGCACTGCCTGAGACTCTCCCTGCAATTCTTATGATACTGGCTTTGAAGAACAGAAGAGCAGTTGTGACTGCAGTGAAGGCTGATCATGCTTTGCTTTGTGAGACTTCATCCTTCCTTGCTCCAGATTTTTTTGGCACATTCTCTGAGAATCTGAATGATTCAGAGGTTCATGTAAATTGGTTAATTAGTTTGTCAGTTCTATACTTTGCTAAAACTTGGGCTTGCAGCATATGAATCTGTGTGTATCATGTCACTCAAAAAAAAAAAAAAAAAAAAAAAAAAAAGCAAGCAGCTTATTACCCCCTGTGGTGCTCCTGTGAACAATGGCATGCACTCCTGAGTGTTTTCAGATATACAAAATTTTCTCAGCCTCAGGTTTGATACTGTTTTCTCCCTTTTTTGGTTTCTGGGCACTGTATGGCTGCTGCTTTGCAGGCAGTTCTGCCTGCACCAGCCTGGCCTGGGCGTAGCTGGACCACCACAGCAGGAGGCATCTATGCCAACAAAGGAGCCTGCAGAGCTGGCAAGGTGGTGTGAATGCTGGCTGTCGTGGCCTGTGCTCACCGGTATACCCACTATACAGATACTGGGTTTTCCAATTACTCAGGATATTCCCTCCTCCCCTACACATTTAATGATTGGACATTGGCTTTATTTAAAATGCGCTTGTATCCTGGGTGGTGGTTGGTCTTCCCAAGTCCTCTAACTCATCCTGTAGCAGATAAGTTTGCATGAATTTACTCAATATACCTTATTTTTTAGGTTTGCTGTCCAGTGCAGAGTGACATTAAATGACAAGCAATGTTGCCTGAAATACTTGATGGCTGCATGTTTCTTCAACCATCTGTTTTTTACACTTCTGCAATTGTCAGTGGCCCTTACCGCTAAAAAGTATGTTTTAGCTGAGCCAAAAATGTTTTTTTCCATATTTTATTTGTATGCTATGATTTTCAAGTCATCTAGGGTTTCAGGGTCTACTCACATTTGCTCCCTTCCTTCATACCCCTCTCCACAAGCACTCGGACGTTTGTGTGTCCTTCCTGCATCCTCTTCTACTTTCCACCCCTGTCCAGCCCTGTGATTCTGAAGCAGTCTCTTAGAAAGAATACTCCGCTTGTTTGGTGGACCTCTTGCCCTCCATCCTGTGCATGCAACTGGGATTCAGTGCAAACTGGGTGATTTTTTTTCTGGTTTTGTTGTTGCTATTTGTTTCATTTTTATTTACACCATGTTCCCTCTGTTTCTGCAGGAGACCAGTGCCTGTGTTGGTTGTTAAACCTGCCTTTGCCCTGACAGAGTAGCTGCAGTTGTTTCAGGAAGTGTAATTGGAATAAATATTTAAGGAAAAGATGAGAAGAGACAAAAAAATAAGAAAAATATCATAAGGAGAGCTATAGGTTAATGATACAGTTTTGTGTGGGTATTTTTTGTGCAGGATTGGGTTTGTTTTGGTTTTGTGTTGTTTGTTGTTGTTTGGTTTGTTTTGTTTTTTCACCAGAGAACTGATTCCCGCTTAACTTGATCTTGGGAAAACAGTATTTTAAACTTTTTCCTTACTCTGTGGTCAAATTTGAGAATAATGTTTTCGCTCTTCGTGAAACCATCTAACCACCTGAAATACTGGGGTTTCAACCTCAAGCCCCCAATTAAGGTTGACATATGGGTGATTCCCACAGCCTTTCACAAAGGGGTGGGGGTGAGTGTGCCTTTGGGCTTCCCTCCAGGGTGGGACCAGCCTTGCAGGGAGAGCCATTGGGTAAATGAGCCCCAGGTGTCCTGCATTCAGTAAACAAGGGTCAGGTGTCCCACTTAGGGATAAAAGCTGGGACCACTTGCAGGAACAGGCAGTGTCTGTGAGATGGATGCCCTGGGCAGAGTTCCCTGTTGGGGAAGGACCTCCTGCCTCCCTGGAACTGGGCTCTACTCAGGTCTGGCCTTTGTAAAGACGTGCTGTATAGAGATTCAGTATGTGGCTTCCTTGGTCTTATGTGTTTGGCTTGTTGACTCGGTTGTCTCCTGTCCCTTCGATGGGAAACTGCATTTCACCATTTATTCCACCCATTGTTGGTTGTGTGGTGTTATTGTTGGGGTCAGTGGGATTGATGTCGATTATGTATAATCTGATTGACTTGTTTGTGTCCCCAGCACTCAGCCCTGTACTGACTCTTTTGTATCAAATACATTATTGGTTATTGGTTCATCTTTATTCTGGCTGTGTCCTTTATACTAGGCCTAATAATTGGCAAAACATCTTTATGGTTAGTTCAGAAGCAAATATTCTTGTGGGAGTTAAAGATTGCAGGACTTCCATCCTGTTGTAGTATTTTAGTAAAGAAATGGCTAATGATTTTTTTGTAAGTGATTTTTACAGATTTCTTTTTTTACAGATGATTTCCTGACCCTTCTTTGTGTGTTTGTACATCAGGTTTGAAATAACATTACATTGTACTTAGTTCCCTAGTGGTGTTTTCTTATTCACAATTTCTTGCCTCTTGTTTACTTCTCATTTTGCTTCACCTGTGCTCTGCTTGCACCCTCAGACAGAGTAGTTAGCCATGTAATATTAAAACACTATTCAATGAACATTAAACTTCTCTGCTTTCAGCCACAGAAGAGCAAAGCAATGAAGGGACAACTTGTTCTGATTATATTTAAGGGTGTATTTAAATTTGCAATATGGTCATATTTCCTGTGTTTCCTTGCGTTGCTTCAGGCGTATAAATTACTACATAATGCAGCTAGATTTAGCCTTGTTGATTTTAGCTGGGTTTCTGTGAAGGCTAAATAAGGGCCTAAATCTTCAGTAAATTTTCCCATTGCTTTTTGTTGTTGTTCCTGAGAATATATATATTTTAAGTATACATGCACTGTTTGTGGTTTTTAACCTTAAGCATTCTCCTCTAATTCTGAGTAACTGGTTAATAATTATTCTCCTGCCATGAAGAAATCTCTTAACAATAAAAAGAAATAAAAAAAAAAAAAACCACAACAAACCAAAGTAAGATACTTTAAAAAGTATTAATTCCAAATTGGATCTTTTTCCCCATGAGGCCGTAGTAGCTCTGTAATGAACAGATCCAAAGTTTAGCGAGTGTGGGAAGCCCCAGAGCAGCATACATGCCTTGTCACCAGCGGTTACTGCTCTGCTCCTTGGTGTTCTGCTCATCATGGAAGGTGGGTCTGACCAAAAGCTCTTTGAGAAAGGCACCTGAATTTGGTCAGATGGGAGCGGGTTCACCCCGATCCCTCTCCCTGCAGGTGGGGAGCATCTGGGGGTGGATGGGCTGGTGTGGAGTAACCCTGGAGCGAAGATGCTGCTGAGGGGATGTGCTGCTTTGTAGGGCAGCGCTGTTGCCAGAGCTGATCTTATGCAAGAAACCCACTTAACTTGCTTTTTAATAATTTTGGATGTGCACAAATCCCTTGCAGAGCTGAATCCCTGCTCGTGTTCCCTTTGTAACTTCGCAGTCAGTTGTGCTGGGTGACTGGGGAGGGTGTGGAAAGAGGAGCCCCTGGGCCAGGTCTGCTCCAGGCCGCTCTGCGCTGTGGGCAGTGACTCCTGGACTGGCACTGCCCATACTTCCTTTTGTGTTCTTGAGCTGTTATAAGCATTTTAGAACAAGCAAATACTAAGTGCTGTCTTAATTTTCTAGAAGCAGGTATTTTATTGAGTTTACATTGTTAAAAGGATAGGGTTTCAAAATTGCCAGGATCTTCAAGTGAATAAATAAGCCTCAGGCAGCTTAATTGAACATTAAAGGTCTTTAAAAAAAAAAAAAAAAAAAAAAAAAAAAAAAAAAAAAAAAAGACAGGAAAAAAGACAAGGTAGAAAAATATTTTAATGGGATCATATGGTTTTAAAATTAATAAAAAGTGATGACCAGAGAGGTAAATGTTAACTAGTGTCAGCAAATTATTTCTCATAAAAGCAATAGGGAAGAAATTATATGCATGAAAAAAGAATTGTACATTAAAATTAGAGGACAGAGATTAAAAAACTTTTATCATATGCCATTTTTTTCACTGTATCACAGACAGACTTAAAAAAGCTTTGTTATACAATTAAGGTGTTTTTTTTTTCTTTCAATTTACAACATTTGCACCCTAGGTCCCTAATTCATGGCTGAATTAATGAATTAATTAGCTCTGGCATAAGTTCTGAATAAAAAACCCTAACCATATACTTTTTGTTCTGTATGAACATATTTCCATATGAAACACACTGGAGCTGTGTGACAGCCTTGTTGAAAAGGAAGATAAAACAGCTGTGATAAAACTTTTTTTTCTTCTTTACAATTTCCCAGGCTCTTGGCAAATTGCAAATTATACTGTTGTTGGGGTGGTTTTTTTGCTTTTTTGTGTGTGTGAAGTGTATTTGAAATGCCAGTTAATATTTTTGGCTTGATCAACTTGAGGATGGTTTATATGCTGGCTGGAAGCTCTGCTTGAGCAACCGCCTGAGTTTGTGCCTGGAAGGTACAATTAAATGCACTGTGCCCTGCAGTAGCTTCCTTCTGCTCCTCTGGAGCTCAGCAACACCCTCAACCTGGTGTCATCCTCATTGTACTTTATTTATGGTCAGGCCTCTATTTAAGTTAAAAAATCTACAGGAAAATAAATACATTTATTTAAAAATGTATTCTCTTGCTTTTTCTGCTTATAAATCTTTTAATTTGCAATGTTATTCAGAGGCATACTGATTTATGTCTTGTGTTTTAAATATTTGTAATTATACATGCAGTTGTTTTATTATTGAAGTGCCTGTAGCTTTATGAAAAGTGTGTGGTATGTCATTTCAGCACAGTGGTGATTTACAGTGTATTTGAATAGTCCCTTGTTTTGCCCGGACATTTATTTTTCACTTGCAAAGCTTTGTAGTTACACCATAAAACAAAACAACAAAAAATAATAATACTGGAAAAACTGAAGCGCCAGAGGGATGATGTAATAAATGTGCAGCGATTCAAACACAAGCATCTGGGACAAGAACTTTCTTTTTATTAAAGGAGTTGTTGACTTTATGTGGCGTTTTCACTATGCAGGGAGAGGGAGTTGGTTTTAAATCTGTTTCCTTCTGTGGGGCAGAACTTGGTAGGGTTTTATCTTGGCTTTTTCCCTCTCCTGTCACCACAGTAGGACATAAAAGTGGGTTAGATGCAGTGATTATATTTGCACATTGGTGCTCGGCGAGGGGTGTCCACTCCTTGGGGCACTGCCTGTGCTGAGCAGGATGCTGAGGCTGAGTGATGCTGTGAGAAGATGTGTAATGGTCAGGGAGGAGGTTGGGGTGTTTGTGGGGGAAGTCAGACCCTGCCACCGAGCCGGGATTGGGAGGGACGGGAGAGCATGGGCAGCAGGAAGGGTTTGGAAACCCGGGGAGTGCCCACACTGCAGCTGCAGGGAAGGTTGGTGTTGTTCCTGCCTCTGCCCACCCTGCAGAGGAAGAAGAGGCTGATTCAAAAAAAGAAAACAAACGCAAACGAGTTATGAGGGAGTTCTTTGTTTCAGCTGGGCTCAGAATTGGTTTTGAAGTACCCCAGTTCACCAGGACATCTGCTTTGCTGTCATCGGTTCAAGGTGGCTCTCGGCACTTGTGGGGTGGTGTGGGTCTGTGTGCGCGCCCCGGCGCGGGGGGTGCCCGCTGGGCTGGCTGCCGGTGGCGGGCTGGGCCAGGCTGCAGTGCCAGCGGGCTGGAAGGAAGGGGGCCCTCTTACCTGTCGCTAGCCCTTGGCTCTCATCTGTCCTGGGGACTTGGGCTGACAGCTGAGATTTCATCGTGTCTTGGGCCTCTGAAGGTGTCTGGACCCTGCTGGGAGAGGCAGTATGGAGCCTAGAGCAAGGGCTGTGTGTGCTTCACCTTCTCGTGCTGTTAAAAACAGCTGCTCTGCCGCAAGGAGGCTTTGGATCTGCATCGGGCCTTCCTGCCTCTGATATGGAAAACGGTTTGAATACTTTTTCCATAGGCGAAAAATTAGGCTAAAGGTTTTAGCTGAAGTTGGTGCATTCTGTAGGGAAAACAGCGTGTTCCCTTCCTGCCCAGTGAGGGCTAGGTAATCTGGATCATCTATCTGAGGAGACTGGGTATTTTCCCAGCCTCTGAGTAAAGAATTTGAAGTATCTAGTTCAAAACCAACATTGCTTTGACTGAATACCAGAGGATTGTTTAAAACATACTCAGTGATTGAAAGTGCAGAGTATGCCAGTGAGCAACTAAGTGTGATTTAGACCATCTGAATCAAACCAGTATAATAAGCTTGACACAAAAGCTTTTGACATTGCTTTACTACAGGAACAGGGGGAAACCCCAAAGCAACATCAAAGCAATTTGCGTGGTCCTGAGATTTTATTGTCTCTCTGGCAGAGTGCTCCTTGCAGGATTACCTATAACTAGACTGTATGACTAAGAGCATCATCCAGATGCTCCTTGAGCTCTGACAGGCTTGGTGCTGTGACTACAATATTAACTGTTGTCACAATGGTAATTGCAATACTTAACAAGTTTAAGGAGAATAAATACATATAAAGAAGAAACAAACACATTTCTGTGCAAAAATTAAGTTTTCATCTGTGCAATTGTTTTTGACAACTGGGTAACTGTAAAAGCATAGACACAGATTTATATCATTAATAGAATATGGAACATTGCAGTGGTGAGTTGGTTTTCATTTGCTGTAACAAAAACGTTTTTAATTCAGTATTTTCAGTTTATTTCTGTTCACATTCTTTTCACCTTTTATGGTGTAGCTCAGAGTCCTGTGGCAATGCTCAGTAACACTGTTACGTTTCAGGAAACAAACACAGAAGTGAATTTCGGGTTTTGGTGGATCAAGTAAATAGTCGGTGGAAGAAAAGTGGTAAGAGGAAAACAGGAAATGCTCAAAACAAAGAAGTTGTCACTGTCAAAGAATTGCCAGTGGCCACAGGTTAGTAATGTTGTTTAATTTCCCCTTTGATCCACACTAACAAGTGGGGGGTTTCCCAAAGAAATGTTCTTTCCTCCCATTGTTCTTTAGCACTTAAGGGGGGCTGTCT